TACTCCGCACTCATCTTCAAGGGCTGCTGCCGGCGCGGCAGCAGCATCGGCGCCCTGAAACTGCTCTCCTCTTGGAGCGTCCGGCCTGAAGGATCGCTGGCGAATCTTACCAAGCACGGTGTCAAGGGACCTGAGTGGGGCCGCTTGGGAGTCGGACTCGTAAAGCAACTCCGTTCCAATGCCAGCACGAGGAGAAACATGGTATCCCAAAATGCACCTGACATCCCTAGGGATCCCCCATTTGCTGCACCAGCTCAATGTGGTCCGCTTACAAGAATGTGTCCCGATCGAAGTCCTGGACAGCCCCCCATCGGTTAATAACCGACGTGACCTAAACACAAACCGATGTAGGCCATCCCGGGCTCCCAGCGGTTAATCGAACATCCCAGCGGTTTTTTGATGTCCCAGCGGTTAATTCAACATCCCAGCGGTTATTTCAACATCCCAGCGGTTATTTGATTATCCCAGCGGTTAATTGTCCCAGCGGTTAATCCCAGCGGTTAATTCCAGCGGTTAATCGTCCCAGCGGTTAGTCCCAGCGGTTAATCCCAGCGGTTAATTGTCCCAGCGGTTAATCCCAGCGGTTAATTGTCCCAGCGGTTAATCCCAGCGGTTAATTCACATCCTAGCGGTTATATATCCAAAGGTTCGGGATCCCAGCGGTTAGTGAAGGTGCCAACGGCCGTACGAACATGGTGTTAATGAATTTGTGTGGCGTGGCGAGGTGCCAACGGCCGTACGAACATGGTGTTAATGAATTTGTGTGGCGTGGCGAGGTGCCAACGGCCGTACGAACATGGTGTTAATGAATTTGTGTGGCGTGGCGAGGCGCCAACGGCCGTACGAACATGGTGTTAATGAATTTGTGTGGCGTGGCGAGGTGCCAACGGCCGTTCTCTGCCTCCGGACGGGTGGCGCAAAGCAGCCAAACCTTCACCTACTACTACTACTACTACTACTACTACTACTACTACTACTACTACTACTACTACTACTACTGCTACTACTACTACTACTACTACTACTGCAAACACTGCTTGGGCTTTCGGTGCTTCAGCTTCTGCAAACACTGCTTGGGCTTTCGGGGCTTCAGCTTCTGCAAACACTGCTTGGGCTTTCGGGGCTTCAGCTTCTGCAAACACTGCTTGGGCTTTCGGGGCTTCAGCTTCTGCAAACACTGCTTGGCTTTCGGTGCTTCAGCTTCTGCAAACACTGCTTGGCTTTCGGGGCTTCAGCTTCTGCAAACACTGCTTGGGCTTTCGGGGCTTCAGCTTCTGCAAACACTGCTTGGGCTTTCGGTGTTTCAGCTTCTGCAAACACTGCTTGGCTTTCGCGGCTTCAGCTTCTGCAAACACTGCTTGGCTTTCGGGGCTTCAGCTTCTGCAAACTCGGTTTGGCTTTTGGTGCTCTTGACAGCATATTATGCAGGAGTCTTTGTTGACTAGCTGTCACAATCAAACATGTACACGTACGGCGTGGCGAGGCGCCAACAGCCATTACAACTCACGGTGGGCGGCACTTCAAGCAATCAGTCGCAACCAAACAACCGACCGACCAACACTCCAGCACATGCATCAAGCCAGGCACACAACCACCATCCAACACATGCATCAAGCCAGGCACACAACCACCATCCAACACATGCATCAAGCCAGGCACACAACCGACCAACAGGTGCAAGCCTTCAGAGCCAAGCACACAACCGACCAACAGGTGCGAGCCTTCAAGCAATCAGTCCCAAGCACAACCAGCCTTCCTCGAGATTCTACAACTGCCACTGCGACTGCAAACACAGCTTGGCTTTCGGTGCTTCAGCTTCTGCAAACACTGCTTGGCTTTCGGGGCTTCAGCTTCTGCAAACACTGCTTGGCTTTCGGGGTTTCAGCCTCTGCAAACACGGTTTGGCTTTCGGTGCTGTTGACAGCATTATGCAGGATTCTTTGTTATGGGTTTGAACAGTTCAGGCGTGGAACCCAGTTTTTGTTTGCAGGCTTTTGATTTGGAGTTTGTGCAAGCTTTGGCCAGGGTTTAGGATCAAGGCGGATGTTGCGAGGGGGAGCACCTCCACCCGATGGCCAAGGGGGAGCAACTCCACCCGAGGCCATGCACTAGATTGGGAACAAGAGAGATTCGGGATTATCGGTATTAAGGGGTGTATATGTGAATGCATCCTCCCTTTTTTGGGGGAGGCCTTGGCCCTTGCGGTTTCAAACTTGGAACCTAAACTTGCAAGCTTCGGGATTCGGGACTATGGAATGTTGTTTGGTTGCATTGTGGCAAGTTCTTCCTTAAGCCGAAATCTAAACCCTCAACCCCCAAACCTGAAGCCCCAACTTTGGAAACCCTAAACCCTAAAACCCTTAAGAGACCTGCGGCGTCCTCTCTTTTTTTTCGGCGACGCGGCGCTTCTTCTTCGCCGTCGCCCCGGGCAAGCGTCGCCAGAGAAGCACTTGTTTCGTCAGGTAACGTCTTGCCCAGGTGCGAGGCTGAGAAGTCACGTGGCAGCCGGCCGAAACAATCTTGAGGAACTTCATATGATCCTCGTCCAAAAAATTCGCAGCATGGTAAAAGTTGAGCTTGTGGCAGGGCAGCTCATCCACCAAATGCTGCGTGTAATGCATCTTCGGCCGAAGTTTGTACAAGCAGAGGCCTTTTCGATGGAATCGTGCAGCAGCGTGAGCATAGCTCAGAAGGAACGTATCGAAACACCATTGTGCTTCGATAATCTCCTCTGGCTTGAGAAAGGGTTTACTGCCAGTTCCCCCAACACTCAACGCTGCATCCAAGCACCATACCATCGTTGCCCTGCACCTCGACCAATGCACCGTGTCTGAGGGTGCGTCATCAGACACCAGTATTTCCAGTTGACAGCAGTAATAAGCGGTAAACGCCAGCAAGTGTCTGGTCCGACTTGCTTTTATACGGCTTGTGAGCTCAGGGTAGATAGCCTTCTTGTTGGCATGTAAAGTTTCCCACGTCAGCGGCTTCATCGAGCAATCCAGGCCACGATCCTTGCAAAAACTTTGGGCTTCCGCAGTCCACCTGTGAAGAAGCTGATCTGGGCTGCCATCGAATCGCAAGAAAGCTGCCATCTCGCCCGATCTCACGGTCTCAACCAGAATGGAAGCCACAAGGTCCCGGATGTAACCCAGATGGGCGAGGTGCATAACTTGGTTGAGCAGTGCATCTTACAGTATTCGAGCACTACATAACCAAAAGCCATAAAAAAGCCATCCAGGAATGCTGTTAATGCGACCTAGAGGCTGTCAAACAGGCGGCGGCGCTTGGTGAAGCCCTTGACTGAGCACCAAACAGATCGTTCTTCTTGGTGTGGCAGCGGCTCATGGTAGCTGCATGTAGAGCGCCACAGAGCTGACGAAGAAAAGTCTGTGAAAGTCAGCTGTTTGTCCCTGCTCGATGCCCAACACCAATCGCATATCGAAGGCTTGTTATAGTGCCTCTGAAGATTGTGTGATTTTGCATGAGCTTCCATATCTCCAGCCCAATATGAGAAGCATGCTCTGATCCCAATGTTTTGGCCAATCTTTTGGGCTCGCGCTGAGCCAGCTGGCCACGGAACGTCGTTGTGGTCGCAGGATGGAAAAACGCCACGTTCCAGTGCTCGAAGATCCCAAGCGATGATGTCAGCGATGCAGCGTCTCGTTTCGGGCGCGACACGACTGTTCGTGACACCAACAATGCCTTTAATTGTTGTTTTCCATCATATACATATATATATATATATATATATGTATATGGTCAGCTAGCTCTGTTGTCCAACTAAAAGAATATTGCTAATCGAAAATTTCCGAGGGACAGAAGCGAGAGATCTCGCTTCCGCGGCTAGCCAAAGGCGTGGTCCAAGACCAGAAGTTGCATGTTTCGCTCTTAGTTGTTGGTACACCATCCTCATGAAAGCGTAATGGAAGCATGTCCTGGTAGTTGGGATTGTTCCGGGAGATCTCCCGTATGTAAACCTGGTCCCGTTCTTGCTTCCACCATTCATCTAGTGACCTGAGATATCAAAGCAGGAAATGTGCGTCCATGAGCAATACATGCACCAACAATGAACCAAGCAATCAGGCGCGTGCCGAGGTGCGAATGTCCAATAAGACAGGTTTCCACCAGTGATCTTTTGCAAAGCTCGCAGAGAACATCACTGGGAAGACAGAAAGCTGTTTTCTCAAATATCAGTTGTTTGTCCTTGCGTTCTTTGGTGTTGCTCCACACAGGCAAATCCACCAGCAGGGGCTGGATGGGTAACTTCATCCAGCGGAAGAAATCCCTCTCCCGTTCGCTGCTTGCCATTTGTGCAAGGGCACGTCCAGATGCCCCATCTCGCCGGAAGGCAGATGCTATTCTGCTTGTTTCGGCCACAGGTATCGCCTCAGAATGTGTGTTCTGGCTGCAAGGTCCAAGAGTGTTGCACACGGACTATATAGCTGACGTGCTTGGATACATCCAAGTCAAGAGTCTCCAGCACCCATGTGCTGGGCCAGTAAAGCTGCACCAGCGGAGTCAAAGTCATCTGCGGTCCTTGCTCCAGTGGCGTGTTTATGCTTATTGCATATATTGCGGTCCCAGCAGCATCCCACGACGACGTGTCGTAAAGTCGTAAAGGCAGGCCGACCAGACTCTGTCAAGGGCACGTACCTGGCAACAATGTTTTTCATTCCTTCCACCCCATCACGTGAAACCCCGTCAGGGCATCTGCAGCAAGCAATTTTTGGCACCAGTCGAATTCCCAAGGATTGAAAGTCGAGAGCATCTTGTGCACAGCAGCACGGAATTTCTTTCACACTGGCTTGGGTCCTCGAGCCCTTGGGCGAGGACCCTACACCAACTGTACGTTATCAGTGTCGGACACTGGAAGAAAATGAGATGTGCAAAATCCAGATGGATCTGTTACCAGTAACCTTGGAGTATTCTAATATATTCTAATATACGTGAACAGCACGACATGCCCATCTGAGCACCGACCCCGGGTGCCAAGAATCTTTCTAGGCTCCCTCCGCGGCTTTGCGCTTCTTGGAGTTGGCTTTAGCCGATCCTTTGGGCGCGGTTGGATCCTTCGGAGTCGCCTTCGCAGCTCGGATCAAGCTGTTTGCTACCTTGCTGGGCCTCTCATAACGCTTCGCGATATCGAGATATCTGGTAGCAATGGGAAGATAGACCCCATCATCGTGGACCAGCTCAGAGATGAGCTTGTCCACCTGGTCGTAGATCGCCCTTGGCCGTATAGTATTGGGTTGGGGCCACATGAGCGTCTGTCAAGACTTCTTGTTCATATGGCTAGACCAGGGTAGCTTGCCCTGTGGGGCAGTGGCTCATAAAACAATCTAGTAGGTATCAAGCCAAGGCACTGGAACTCCTGCTCGAAGTTGGTCATCTCCTTGAGGCATTCAGTCGCATAGCTGACTCCTTTCAACTGCTTCCGCATCGAGCCAGCGTGGTTGGCCTTCGAGAGGGCCCGCCCCCTTAAGTCTGCCGCCTTGTCCAGCCGTGTAAGTTTCTCCACTCGTGGTGCTTCCGGCTCAGTTTCATCGTCTTCGTCTTTCTCTTTGCCGCTGGCTTCATTTTTCCTGGCTTTCCTTGGTTTTTTGTTCGGAAGTGGCTTTGGGTCCTCCTCCATGTCCACATTGTCCTCATCATCCTGGCCGGGCCCTGTCAGCGCCCCCCGGGGCACACTGAGAATTTGTGCAACGTTGGCAGCGTCACCCGCACGAACTTCTCCGGAAGCAGTGAAACTGCTTCCTCGGATTCCGTTCGCATGAATGCACGAATGCTACATAAATGTTGAAGTCGAACATAACTGGATGCACGATGTATGAATGCAAGCAAGAAACGTTCTTCTGTGCCTCTCGTCCATTCCCTCTGCCACTCGTTGCGCAAGTAAAGCTTGAGCCCTTTACAATTGGGATCATCAACCTCCAAACCAGCCTTCCTTTTTTCCTCCATCACCTTCGCAGCATTGACTGCTCCGTACTTGCCGATCAACTCCTGTTCCGTCAAAGGTTTCATCTTTCCCTTTTCCTTGTCCGCCGCCACAGAAATGGACGATGCAGTCCACTGCCCGACCAGCTCATTTTCGTCTCCTCCTGCAGCGACGATCAAGTCGATGGCTTTGCTCTTTGAATCTTCGTCCCGCACCAACTTTGCCAAGTCATCAGGCAAGGCTTGCATCCTCTTTGGGTTGCCTTTCAGGCGATTCAAGAACAT